ATAATCATAAGACGAAAGAAGCATTTTATGAATTGAACACAATATTAATTGCGAACATCTTTCACTTTCCCTTCCAACGCGGTCGGCCGTAATGAAACATGCGATAGATAGACAAAAAAAATCAAGATTTCTTTAAAAGTTTTTAAAAACAATAAGTATTTCTTTTTATAATCCGGTTATCAGAATGTGCCGCCTTTATAATGAAATAAATAATAATAATAGTCATGAAATTGATATTTTTAACACAAATCAAGCGATCTTTGTAAAAACTGTAAAAAAATGTCTATCTTAAAAATGCAATCTTGTAAATTTTAAAAAACTGTAATTATTAACAATTTATATTTCTTTTGTATTTTTTTTTTTTTGTAACTTAAAAATTGTTTATTATACTATTTATTTTTCTTCTCGTAAATTTAATTCGTGTAACTTTATTTTTGTCTTTTTTTGTTTAGTACTAATATATAGTTATCTCCTGTATAATAATAATTGGCAATCCCGTCACGTTGTGCATGCACCCTTAGGGTTATAATCTGTTCGATGCTATTAATGTTTAAGAAATATTCTCTATGTGGTTGTGACCTGTTGTGTTTGCCTTAATAAATAAATATCTTAAAGTTTTACTTTAAGCGTAAAAACTATGAGTCCAATGTTTTTCAGTAGGTTACTCTCAATCAAAATGTTCCGCGGTTGTTTAGGTATTGATCAGATGTACGGGAGTAATAAAGGTTAGTTTTAATTAATAATTTAGCTTAAAACTAATCTCGTCTGCAGACAGATAATTGATGTGTTAAAGGAACCGTTGAGGACGCGTGTTTACATCGGCTTGTGAAACGTCTGGGACCTCTTCTATAACTGTATTGAAATGTAGCCACAGAGTACAGGTAAAGTTTTAGATACTAATCATTGACAAAGACGGAACTGAAGAAAATTATATACAAGAAATGTGTATCGGGATTATAAGAATAAGACTAGGATTATATAGTTTTAAAAACATTTGAAATCCATGTGAGTAATATTATTTTATTTACAACTTTTCACTGATTTTAAGTCTTGACATACAAAAATATGATGGTGTAAGACGCGTTGTTTAGTAAAACAAAATTTCTTAAAAAAAAAAAACGCTTTTTAAGAATCAAAATAAAGGATTTCATAATTATAAAATTCTATTATAATATACATAAGTATAACGTGTGGGAACACTATTATCAGTTTTTCTTACGGATGTTTTGTCTTTCCTATAACTCAAATATAAAAATGTTGTCAAATACGTTCCCACGAATGTTACACTGAAACGAAAGGTCAATGACCCGATAGATACTTATTTATCACCTGACACTTCCAAAAATAGATTGAAAGAACATTTTGCATACAATATTCTAATATATCATCGTTTTTTATTACTTTAAATTAATACAAGAACTGTTATGATTTTATAATTTTTGAGTGCTAGCTATAAACAATATAGTGGACTAATTTTTCTCAATACTATTTAATTACACATTAACTCAAATCCGTCTGTCTGTCTTCACATATACATATATCCTTAATTTAAATACAAAACCTGAACAAAACACTAATAATATCTTATTCTATATTAATATGTTCTTATAACGAGTTCTCATTGCTTAACTCAGTACAAACTGTTTTCAGTTCTTCTTTCATACTCTGTAATAAATACTAATATCACCTGTAAAGTTTTTTTTATATAAATATTAAACGGTAACGTTCTGTATTTAGTTTAATGTCTCAAACTTGTAGTAAAGGTACTGTTTCGTATAGTTTATTCAAACAACATCCAGTAACCCCGGGAGTATGTCTTGTGCCTACTTCAACTTTGTCTCATCACTCATCTTCTAACTCAAACGTCGTTACAATTTCCGACGTTTCAATAGTAATATCGGATATGAGATTTGAGGGTACATTTCTTTGTAATTTTGATGATTTTCAAAGTTTCGATTATATTTATCTTAGTAAATTAAAGCGAATATCATCAATTCGTGGTCACGGCTTATGTAAAATAACTGTAGTCATGTAAAATGAAAAAACAATAAAATAAATCGTGCATTATGTCATAATATCATAGTTTAATTCAAAGCCCTTGAATTATTAAGATTTAAATTCTCTTGTATTCTTTGTTTATGAATTCGTGAGAATTTATATCGTACAAGATGAGCAATAAGGTGAAGTTCTCATGAAACAAACAAAAGTTGAAAACTACAACTACCTCCCTAAGATACCTACTTTTTACTTCTTACAGGGAAACGAAAAATTGAGCATTTCCTGAGTCTGATATCTAAAGAACATTATTGTGAATTTTCATTAAAATCTATTCGGCATATTTTACATGAATAAGCAAAACACAAACATTCTGTGTTTAATATTAGTATGATGTAATAGCATTCGAACAATAGTTTTATAGCTTGATGGTAAACATTGAACTCTCAAAAGTAATATTACAACTAAATTCTCTCAAGATTTTTGTGTTTCATCGGATGATGAAACACAAAAATCTGTATACATCCGTGTAACGGTGCCCACTGCTGATCAAACGCTTCTTCTCACATGGAGAAAGAGCATTAACACCAAGCTTGCTCAAAGCGGGTTGGCGATTTCAAACTTATAATTTGCAATTACAAGTCCAAGTTTTCTCACGATGTTTTCCTTCAGCCTCTGTCAGTGGTGTCTAAATACTCTTGGAAATTACATATATCTCGGAAAAATCACATTGGTACTCGCCAGGTTTCGAATTCGCACCCTCATGAGTGAGAGGCGGACCTTTAACTTTCACACCATAACGTCTTTTAAAAAACATACATATATACGAAATGACTTCCATGAATTCAAGTGTCGTACCTGTATAAGTTGTTCGTGGATTACGATAGATGGCGCTTTGAACAAAGTGACGCAAGAGGCCATGGCGGGTGATATTTAAATTATGTCGTGCATTTTGTACTGTTATACCAACTTATGAAATGATGAATAAAAGGATATTATTAAGGATATTGTTCATTAGAAAACTTCAAACGTCGTTTTTTGTTATTTTATAGAAAAGACCTGTAAATCCTGAACAATGTACCTATGTTATTATTTAAATATTTATTAAGTTTCTGATAACTGCATTCTAATCTAATACCAGTCTCTATGTGATTTTGGATCCCATCCTCATCTTGTATGATTTTAAATACTTATGTCAGTTTAAGACCAGTTTCTTAATAATAATATAAAACTTGCTCATCATAATCAATATTCTAAAATGTATGATTCAAGAACCTGTTTATCAAGTCAACTTCAATCCTTCTACTTTATAAAAGATTTCTCATTCTATCAATGAAACCTGGTATCCCTTATTAGTTTGTGTTTTTGGAAAATATAAATAAATTGAAGATTACGAATGTTTTAAATGACTTCTTTGTAATTTTCAGGTCTTTAATTCGTATGTAATAAATAGATTTTCTTTTTAGTCATTTAATAAACAGACTTTGGGATACCGACTTATATATAAGTTGATGTTTTGTTTAAAGAAATATGTATATAAAATATAATGAAAAAATTAAACACATCTTCAAAAAGATATACTTTCTACACAGATTACAAGATGGTATAATTAAAATCATAATTGTTTTTCACTGCCTTAACAGATATTTAAACTTTATAATGCTGTAATGTTCAAGTTTACGTCCTCTCTAGATCTTTATTTTTAATAGTTTCTAATAGTTAATGCTTAAAAAAAACGGAATCACCATTCCTATATAATGTAAAAATTATTGTGATCAAATCTAAACGAACCTATGAAGGAACAAGAATTACACGAATGATTTCCATACAGACAGACAATGATAATTGTTTTGAAACAAGTCATGTGACCAATGATCATGTTATCAAAAACATTAAATAACGCGAAGAATGTTTACTTCTTTTATTTAAAACGAGCCAACATGACAACCGACTTCATTGAAAATAAGACTATAGTATAGGATGATTACTGCAAGAACTTTAGAAATACTTAAATGTTTTAAACATTCAAATAATAAACAAGAATAACATTACGTTAGACGATAAAGAAAGGATCATTATTAATAAAGTGAATCGCTCCAGTTACTACTCTTAATTTAGATTTTGAACTTTAAATTGAACTGGTAGTCATTAGATCTCTTCATTACTATAAGAAATTCATCAAAACCAAAGACCTTTGTTCTTTTATATCTGAACATCCTCTCTCGGGATAACATAAAATAAACATCGGTCGGGACTCGGGTCGGATGGGGAAACGGTTTAATTTTGCGAGCAACTAATAAAATTTGAAATACTTTGCCGATACGATCCTTAAAATATAGGTCAAGGGCGCTATGACCAATTTATTTCAATTCACAAATTTTACAACTTATGTTCATCAATTACATCCATTTAATATTTCTATTATATGTAAATATACTGTTTAAATAGTGTTTCCATATTATTATTCATAATTATCTAACTAGATATTATATGTAATGTTTATACAAATATAAATTATAACTAATGAAAATTATGGTGCATAGAATTGTTTTACGAAAGTCCGTTTCAACATTTTACATTACAAAATTATGAAATATATATGAACGCCTAAATAATCTTAATATTATAAAGTAATATGTATATATATCGTTTTATAGTAAAATAGTTCCAACAAACAATCATTGAAATAGTAAATATTCTTGCTATTGGTAGAGTTACATGTAATCAATAATGAATTAATTAAATGTATCAATTTAAAATTAATTTAATATTTTAATAGAGCAACACTATATACGTCAAAGTCAAGTTTGTCAATTGTCAGCTAATTCAAATTGTCTTCGACCTCCATTCATCCTTAAACCTTCTTCTTGCCGTTTACACGGTTCTAACACCATATTTTACAGAAATATAAAATTAATATTGTCATATTACTCCGAAAGGGCTTCGAATAAGCCTGATATAAGTGTTATAATTTACTTCTTACTAATAATAGCATCACTGTAAAAATGGCGTTAAAATCGTCAGTGCTTTTAAATGGGCTTTTCGCACGACTTTCCCGGCGAAACTTTTCAACATCAAAGACACTATCAGCGAACATGGTCCCTGTTCGCGATGCTCTAAAACAGGCAATTGATGAAGAAATGGAGAGAGACGAAAAAGTGTTCATTCTTGGTGAAGAAGTAGCCCAATACGACGGCGCATACAAAGTTACCAGGTTAGTTTACGCTGTTAAAATATTTATATATGATTTTGTTGATTATAATTTTATTTCTGAAAGAGATGTTGTTTTTTCATATCGCCACATAAAATCCAACATTTTTCAATTTCTCTGTATGTTACATAACCAATAAATTGTTTACATGTATGATTGAATTAAAACTTTTTGAAAATTATATAATTATTTAGAGAGATCTGAAATATACACTCTGAGTATATCTTATCATGTGTCTTGTTTACACTTGGCTAATATAAGTAAACTGTTTGTTTTTATCATAAAATTTGACATCGTTTTTATAGCTCATTCATTAATTATTTGTAGTTTCTATAAATTCTGGTTTAAAATACTAAAATGACTACATTTTAATCTTAACTATAAATTAAACATGTTAGAATTGTATTTTTTTTTTGTTTCATACTAATTAATTAACATATGTTAATAAACAAAATGAATTTATACTACTCATTAATGATGTTTCAGAGGACTTTGGAAGAAGTATGGTGATAAGAGGGTAGTAGACACTCCGATCACAGAGATTGGCTTTGCAGGTATAGCAGTGGGAGCTGCCTTCGCCGGTCTGCGGCCTATCTGTGAATTCATGACATTTAATTTTGCCATGCAAGCCATAGATCACGTGAGTAGAACACCATGTATATGAATTACTATATTAAAATACAAATATATAATTTAATTAGAAGACCCTGCGAACTTCGTATCACCCTATAATCAAGAAATATCTGTTACATTTTTTTATTTATATTTTTAGAGTTTACCTATTAAAGCCATAAATCTCCGTGTTCTGAAGTGCGACAGAATGATTGACATATTAGTTAGTTGTCAAATCTAATGTCAAAAAAACCTTTGTATCAACTAATAAATTAAAAATTAATTAAAAAAACATTGTCCAGCGGACAAAATTGTGAATCTAAACCATTCCCAGATCCTCTTGAACACACACAAAAAAAATTCATCAAAATCGGTCCAGTCGTTTGAAAGAAGTTCAGTGACAAACACACTCACAGAAGAATTACATATATAAAGATATACAAAACAATCATAAAACTGACTTAAATTTGTATCAATAAAAAGTTTAATGAAATTATCCTTACTCTATATTTACTATTATTAATAAACATAATATGTCAGTTAAGTCAGTGGTGGTCTAGTGGTTAAAAGACCTGCATCTCATGCATGAGGGCGCAGGTTCGATCCTGGCAAGTTCCAATGTGATTTTTCTAAGTCTTACTTTCTAAGAGTATTTAGACATCACTGATTAATGCATTCCCAAAAAGGGTTGATGTCAGGCAGGTGGCTGGTTGTAAAAACAATTAGTCAAAACTATTCACAACATGTAAGGCAGACCCTGGCTAAAGCTGGGAAATTGCCAGGTAGAAGAAGAAGATATAATACAAGAAATATATTTACACAATTACTACACACATCATAGCTTAATCAGTGAATTTGCAAATATTCCAGCACATGGAAATCATCATCGGCTTAAGTCTATTATGTTAATGAATCCATAAATCATATATATAAATGTATTTCATTAAAAAAACTTTACATATACATAAGAAAAAATAAATGTTATGTGATAATATAATAGATGAATAATAATAAATTGTTTTTACGATTGGGTCATCTTAAGTTCTCATCATAAAAACATCTATATTGTATGCCAATAATAATAATATAAATGTTTATACTTATAGTTTATTTCAATAGAATTTAGCAATCTTGTAAACAAATGTGATCAGTTGATATTGACAAAGACGTGCCTATGCCCTTAGTGATGTGAGCACTCTTTAAGATACTTTAATCTTAATTATTCAAGTATTTATGTTTAAAAAAAAAACTTGTACAGTAATACCCCGCTTAACGCGACCCCGTTGGGCGCGGTTTCACTATAACGTGATTTTCAAAAATTTATTCAGGTTTGGCCATATCAGAGTATAGACAATAATGATGACCGTGTCTTGAACGTGTGTGAAACGATTAAAAACAGTGTTTGGTGTTATGAACGCATTTTACAAGAACGTAAACAAAACGCTACCCAAAAGACAATACATGTATTTTTTCGTAAAAAATAGGAGTACCTATGTATTGTATAAAGTGTTTTTAGAATTAAAGTGATTTTTATATTTGTGTATTAAATTTTGACTGTGTTGAATCATAAACCTCGATATTCGCGAATTTCAGTTAACGCGATTTTCTTCGGAACGTATCCCTCGCGTAAAGCGGGGTAATACTGTAATTATTCATATTTTGTTAGGTATTTATTAGTTAACTTTTTCTAATGTGTTTTTACTTTGGTATGTATGTTCTTATGTAACTGATTATGTCTTTTTGAGAATAAATTCTTTAAACCTTAAGGAGTTTTAAAATGCAGAATGAAAAGAATGCATTCCAAGTGACACTCCAAGATCAGAATAATTTAGTAAGAAGGGAAAAGGAACCAAAAAAACTTGTTCTATCTGAAGGAAGAATTGGAACTGCTAAGCATTTGAAAGTGGTATCTAGTAGGAAAAATCATAATCAGTTGCTTTGTTTATAAGATTGTTAAATTCTATTGAAATGAACTATACATATTTATTACACTATCACACAAGAAACTAAAATATTAACTCACAAACCTTTTTATTGTTACATTAATTCATATTACACACAATTGATTGATTATCTGCTGAGTAAAAACCTTTTCTCCATGTGAGAAGAGGCCTTTGCTCAGCAGTGGGCTCTGATAGGCTGATGATGATGATGTATTATCTTCCTTAGATAATTAATTCATTTCCTTCATCTGTTAAAATACTTAGATGAAATAAAACAATTTTTTAATGACCTCCATATGTTTAATCAACCTTCAATCAAAACTATGATACAACTGTTCACACACAGATTAACAATATATTGCGCGTTAAAATAGATTGTAACATACTTATATTCAACATCATCTTATATATATTTCAGATTATCAACTCAGCGGCCAAGACGTTCTACATGTCAGCGGGTGCTGTACCCGTTCCGATAGTGTTTCGCGGACCCAACGGAGCGGCGGCCGGAGTCGCGGCTCAACACTCACAATGCTTCGCTGCCTGGTACAGCAGTGTTCCGGGGTTGAAGGTGCTCATGCCTTACTCATCGGAAGATGCTAAAGGTATGATAATACACAACATATACTAAGATATATACATAAAGAATAAATAGTAATTCAAATAGTGATTATAATGTTTATATACTAGCTTTCCGCCCGCAGCTTCGCCCGCGTTGAGTTCGGTTAAATCGCGTTTCCAAGAGAACCTTTCAAAAGTCTGTGATAAAAACTATCCTATGTTCTTTCTCAAGGTCAGCTCTATCTCTGTAACAAATTTCATTAAAATCAGTTCAGTGGTTCAGACGTGAAAGTGTAACAGACAGACAGACAGATGTAAAGGTATTAAAACTACGAATGACATTTTAATACTGTCTTTATTTTTGCATCCTTTCTTAGCTTACCTAATCTATTTTCGATCCCTTTCACACAATGACTAATCTTGCATCTCTCTCTCTTTCACACTCAGACGGTTACACTTCATCATATATTAACTGCATAACAATTGACAGATAATATAAAAAATGTTTAGACAGATATTAATTATTCTCCTTACATGCCCTTGAAATTTACAAATCTTATTTATTTATAATGAATACAGTTTTAAATTTCACAACAATATACCTTACATGTCCAGACTAGTTTCTCTTCCATTCTTTATGCTATTATATTTAGTTACACATACAATAGGTAGTGTTAAATCACATTCATACCGAACCTTTCAATACATACTATGTTAAGTCATATGAATATAATTTATAAACGTTCATACAACCTTTAGTACTAAAATATGTAATTACATAGTTTATCTTATTGTCAGTGGTGGCTCAGTGGTTAAAGGGCCCGCCTCTCGTTGCCGAGGGCGCGGGTTCGATCCTGGCCCGGGCAAGTACCAATGTGATTTTTCCGAATCATATGTACTTTCTAAGAATATTTAGACATCACTGAATAATGTTGATTCCCAAAAAGAGGGTTGATGTCAGGCAGGCGGCCGGTCGTAAAAACAAATAGCCAAAACCATTCACAACATGTTAGGCAGACCCTGGCTATAGCTGGGAAAAATTGCCAGGTAGAAGAAGACATAGTTTATCTTATACATATAAACAGATAATGAGTATGTTTCTATAGTAAATTAAACATTCCTTTATGTAATATCTCGAGGAAATAAACTTATTCTGTTGGATTATGAATGATCAGTACAATCACATATATGTAACTTTACATACTATTACTAGACTGCATTAGTAGTACAATTTGATAATATTACTTATAACAAAGAATTAAAAAAAAAAAACAATGATACAAACAAAAGAAATTGCTTGAAAACTTAGAAGTTATTGATTATAAGGACTGTATTGTGTATATAGGGCTAACTTAACAAAAGATATGCGATGTAACATAATACATAAGTAACCTTCATACTTAATTAAAATTACACACAAAAAATAAAAAAATACAGTTATACATGTTGAATTTTCCTTCTTGTATGGCATCCTCTGCTTGTGGTATAGGGTACTTTGCCATTATCATCATCCTCATATATTTTATTAGGGATTTCTGGGGTGTTCACAATTTGGTTGTCATCATCATCATCATGGTTGTAATTATTGTGTTCTTCATCTGAAAGACAGTCTAGGTTTGGGGAAGAGATTAGAGGTTTTAAGTACTGTACATGAACAATTTTTTTCTGTTTCAGCTTTTGTAGGTTTTTAATTTCATAACAAACAGATCCAACTTTTTTTGTAATCTGGTATGGACCTTTGTATTTAGGAGATAATTTGTGATCATCCGCTTTAGGCCATTCATACATCACATAGTCATTTACTTGAAAATCATGTTCTAGTCTTCTCTCATCAAATCTTATCTTATTTTTCATATTTGAAGTCTCTATATTCTGAATTGCCACTTTTCTAGCTTCTAAGGGATAATCTAGCTGATGATTATGTTCCATATCAGTTATGACGGTGCCAATTGCTAATTCTTTAGGTGAAATTCTCGGTTCATATCCATGTAACAAAAAACTTGTTAAAAAAATTTTGAGTGGTCTGACTCATAAAACATGGTGCTTGATCTGAGATATAAGTCAAAGGTGGTCCATATCTAAATATAATGTCATTTTCAATAGTTTCAATGACATTCTTTGCTGACAGGCCACAAGTGGGCTTTGCTATAACATATCTGGTGGCATGGTCAATGTGTACAAAAATATAAGTGTTACCTGCTTCTGTTCGAGGCAATGCAATGATGTGATCTGCTGATGTGATCTCCATTGGATTTTCTGGAATAGCATGTTTACCCATTTGTCCAAATGCTAGTTTGGTACATCTGTTTGTTGCAGCTCATATCATACATGCCTTTGTGTATGCTTTAACGTCTTGCCTTAGAGTTTTCCACCAATATTTCATTTTGATCCTCTCCAAGGTAGTGCTGAAATCTAAATGACCACTGTCATCATGTGCTATTTTAATTATTGAAGACCAAAGACTTTGAGTTATGACAATTTTCTCTTTGTAAAAGGCTTCTTTTTCATTTTTATGCAATAAAATACCATCTTTTTCTATGAACGACTCTCGAATGTGCTTCAAATTATGGGTGTTTTCATTTGATTTCAATTTAGAAATTATCTGTTTGATAAAATTATCAGAACCTTGTGCCAACTTTAATTTATCTTCATTACTGGAAATTACCATCATACATATTTCTTCCAACGGGTAGCGAGACAAATGATCAGCAATAAAATTTTGTTTGCCCGGTCTGTGCATAGGAGTGAAGTCAAACGGTGCAAGGTCTATGACATAACGTGCGAATTTCCTATTTAGTTTTGACTTATTAATAATATATGCTGTGGAGTAGTTGTCTGTGATAAGAGTGAATTTCCTTCCTAACAAAAATATTCTGAATTTACTCACAATTGCCCAGTGCACAGCTGTTACCTCTAGTTCATTAATGTGATATCTGGTTTCAGCTTCCTTTAAACATCTGCTTGCATATTCAATGACTTTCTTTTGACCATTTTGAATTTGTAGGAGGCAGGCTGCCATACCCACATAACTGCTATCAGTTTCTATAATTGTTTCTGAATCATCCTGAAAATATGCTAAAATGGGCGCATTAGTTACTTTTTATTTTAAATTTTCAAATGCTAGCTGCTGTTCTTCAGTTAATTGTATATTTTTAGATTCTTTCTTCCTTTCACTCCCGATGTTTTCTCTGTAACTTTTCTTCAAAATATTGCTTAATGGTCTTGCTAATATTGCATAGTTTTCTATACATTTCCTAAAAACATTGGTAAATCCTAAAAATGATCTTACTTCTGTGCTGCTAGATAGTGTAGTATATTTTTGTACTGCTATGGTGCTTTTTGGATCTGGCCGTTCTTCTTTGTATCCAACCATTCTTCCAAATAATGGTAGCTCTGTTGTGATAAAAATACATTTTTCTTTATTGAGTTTTAGATTTTTCTCTCTTGTCGCTGTTAGGACTTGGTGTAAAATATTCTTCAAATCTCCTATTGTGTTTGCTCCTCCGGTGATATCATCATAGTACATTCTAATTCCTAAGTCATAAATTTTACCATAAGTGCTATTAATGACCTTTGACATGACTGCAGGACCTCCAACTAAACCAAACATAAAACGCATGAATTCTACATGGTGATCCTGTGTTATTACAGCTGTTTTGTATATATCTTTTTCTCTGATTCTTATATTGTGGTAGGCATGGTAAATATCAAGTTTAAATTTAAAAATAAATTCTGAAATTTTATTCACAATATCTTCCATTCGCTCTATTGGCTGTACGTCAACTTTGGTGATGGGATTTATTGTTCTAGAGTAATCAACTACTGGTCTGTAGGGTGTTGTAGAATGCTGTCGCTGCTCAACCACAAACATTGGTGCAGCATATGGTGATTCTGATGGTCTGCATACTTTCTGTTGAATCCATTTGTTAACAGTTTCTTTCAAAAATTTTCTTTCTGGCTCGGGTAATCTGTAAGGCTTACACTTTATTGGTTTATCGTGATGCAATTCAATTTTTATTTCTATATCAGGATACTGTCCTATGTCATTTTCATCGGTCTTGAAAATATCTGAATACTGATTTACTACTGTTGTTATTTCGGCTCTGTTATTGTTACTGGATCCGTTTGCTGTGTAGAAACACAGCATGTAACTACATCTTGCACTGATAATTTAGGAAAAGCCTCTGTATGTGTTGGCGTTATGATGTAGATAACTCCATCTGGTTCATATATTATTCTGGCATACACATCATATTGCCAGTCTTTCCCGATTATCATAATATCTACAGGCATTTCTGAGCAAATACCTATCTGTGGCATTATGTAATCAATTTTACCCACCTGTACTCTTGCAGATATCCATCCTATAGGGGTTAACATGTTCCCAGCTACTTTGTATGCACCTTTTTGCCATGGGTAGACTTCAGTATCTCTTGGAAGCAGTTTTTTATCAATAAGTGTTATTACCGATCCGGAATCTAGTAATGCTTTGACTTCAATGTTGCTGTTCAGGGTAACTGGAATCAGTGAAACAGAAGGTAACTCATTCTGCACACAATTGACCTGATTTTGTAAATATTTGACATTTGAAGGTGTATTTGACTCCATTTTCTTGTTATGAATTGGTTTATTTGTCCCTGAAGTAGGTTTATTTTCATTTGTACTCCGTTCAGGTTTCATTTCACAGTTGTATGAGATGTGCCCTTTTTGTTTACATCTAAAACAAGTTTGTTCTTCCTCCTTGTCAGTTTGTGGATTAAATTTCTTAATAAAATTGCCTTTATTAGATTGTTTATCATTGTTACTTACAGTTTCTTGAGAATTATTGCTTGCCGAGCCATTTTTATCAGATTGTTGTACTTTTCTTACTACATCCAATGCCATCGCATGCATAATTAGCTCTGCCACTTCCTTGCAGCACTGTACAGCAAGAGGAGTTGACCATCTTATATCTTTGACTTTGACCTTTCAGGATGAGTGATACACGATCAGCATCTGGAATTTTAGTCGAAGACTTCTCCAACATAGCATTTTTAATATAAATGTAATCACAGATTGTTTCAGTTGATTTAAGAGTTCTTTGTGATTGGTACATAATAAATTCAGCAAAAGACATTCTATTCATGAAATGTTCACTAATTTTTTCTCTCCACTCAATCCAATTGTTAATATTTTTACCTACTACTTTATGCCAATTTTGGGCTGGACCTCTCAATCTAGTAGATTCGTTTACAAGCATTAAATTTTGTGACCAATTAGCTAATGATGCAATTCTCTCGACTTGTTTGATCCACTCCGTGGCGTTATCTGTTTTGTTCCCACCAAATAATGGGATAGCGTTACATGTGTCGCTAGTTGAGAATATTTGAAAAGTTGGTGACATCTTTTGAGCAATTTGACTTTGTGTTTCAGCAATTTGTAATAGAATATTCTTTAAATCAGCGTCACCTTGTTGACTAAAAGGTTTATACTGACCTGAGTTATCTTCATGAAATTGATTCAATTTTTTTTGCAACTGCATAACAATTGACAGATAATATAAAAAATGTTTAGACAGATAATAATTATTCTCCTTACACAGAGTTACTTTCGCATTTATAATATTAGTAGGGATGTTTTGTATTTAATTTTTTTGTATACAATAAAATTAAATTCGTGATATATTCGTGCTCAGTAAAAAGACCGAATGATAGAACATAATATAATAATATGGTCTATCTACATTATAATTGACATCATATAATTTAACAACACCCATCAATTATAACTAATACACTATAAATTAGAATGCAAGTCTTTAATAATATAACTCAGTGTTTTTCAATCTGTGGGTCCTGAGTCCTGACCCCTAGGGGGTAAAAAGAAAAAAGTAAATGAATACTTGAAAAAATCTTAGATCTCACTAGAAAACGGTAAAGTTCTATACTACAATAAAAAAACAAATCTTACTTAGAAGGTTGAGCATGTTTATTTTTGAAAAACTTATCAGATCATGGTGTTATTTTTGAAATATTAACTATCAAATCAACTTGTAATTGAAGTTCATTTCTATTTTTTGTTTCGATGTCCACTATCACAGAGAATTTCTTTAACTTTAACTTAGCTTTTTAATTTAATAATTTCCTTGCTTATTTATGGCATAATGGGTCACAATATCAAAAACATTGAAAAACACTGATATGACTAGTATACTAGTGTGTGTGTGTGTGTCAGGTCTGTTGAAGGCAGCCATCCGTGACCCGGACCCCGTAGTGTTCCTAGAGGATGAGATCGTGTACGGAGTGCCCTTCCCCATGTCCGACGAAGCTATGTCTCCTGACTTTGTACTACCTATTGGTGAGTTATCAACATTAACTATATATATTAAATAAGATTACTTTTGTATTGAAATTGTTTTCATATTTTAGGGAACAATTTGTATATTGTCTCTTAACATACATATTATAAAATAGGCATATGCATTAAATATTTTTTTCATCCTATCTTTATATATATATAGAAAAATATCTATTATTTTCTGTGTTTATGTGATGTATCCTTATCTATTATATTATATATAGAAAGAAAGTTGTGTTAGTTACACTATTTATAACACAAGAACGGCTGTACTGATATTGTTCAAAATTGGTTGAAAGATAAATTAGAAGAAAGAGACGGACATAGCATATTTAATTCTAGTCGATCGAAACAGAAAAAAAACTTAATAAACTCCAATATCTGGTCATTTACTGCCCCTAGGGCGGAAAGGAGTTAGCCCGGTCAGCTATACAAATATTTCTAATTTAAAAAAATAGGTAAGAAAACTTTTTAAGTTAAACGGTTTTACGTAAAATGCATTGCAATGCTTAAGATAAATGTACTTAAAACCAAAAAATAATAAAATAGATACAGTTGTGGGAATTATAAACATATGCACAGACTAGACTAAAATAAAAGCGTGGGGCTCGTCAATTGATTGATAAAACCTAAGTTATCCGCCATTTTGTAGAGGCCGCCATCTTGGATTTTAATTTTATATAGTACATTGTATTCTACTGGTTGAGCACTTTCAATTGAAACCCATATTGATGGGATTGGTAAAACATAAATTATCCGCCATTTTGTAATCTTGAATTAATAATGAAAATGAATAAACATAATTGTATTGTCACCAAAAACCAAAGTGTATACCAAATTTCAGATTTATCGGTTGATAGGAAGAGGGTGAAATTTGAATTACTAAATTTGACCCAAGAAAGAATAAATAATAAAACAAACGGGGTGAGCTAAATAAAACCGTTTAAAAACTAACGAACGACGTAACATCGAAAAATTAGTAAATAGATATTAAATATGTTTGAATATAATTTTCAGGTAAAGCAAAGGTGGAGAGAGCCGGAGATCATATAACTATAGTGTGTGCGGGGAAGGCGACCCACACGGCGCTAGAGGCGGCCAACGAATTGGCCGGGAAAGGTAAATACAATATATGATAATATATTAACAAAGGAAGGAATTTCTTCATGAGTTATATCATCGTCATCAGCCTATCAGAGCCCACTGCTGTAAGGCCTCTTCTCACATGGAGAAGGTTTGAGCATTAATCACCACGCTTGCTCAACACGGGTTGGTGATTACAAACTTATATTTTGAAATTATAAGTCCATGTTTCCTCACGATGTTTTCCTTCACTGTCAGTGGTGTCTAAATACTTTTAGAAAGTACATATGACTCGAAAAAATCACATTAGTACTTGCCAGGTTTCGAACCCGCGCCTTCATGCATGAAAGGCGGACATTTAACCACTAGGCCATATAAATGAACTGTTCTTTGTAGTTTGTATTCTGTCAACAAGTCAGAACTCAGAATATAACAAAGAAATAATAATTAATATGTATTCCATCATTTTATACCGACCTGTTATTACAAACTGTTATTTTAGTTATTTAATAATTTGAATCCATTCTAATGTTTTCTTTTCATTTAAATGAAACGTGATGGGCAGACGAGATGTGGATTACCATTTCATTCATTCACATCTCGTCTTTATGATCACGGTTGCTGAAAAGTATCCGAAAAGTCGGGAGTATGTAGTTGTTGATCAAAAATAAAGTCGAGTAGTACATCCGAAAAATATTAGTTTCATTTAAATGAATACTCGCGAAAATCTTATCCTACTAATATTATAATTTCGAAAGTTTGTGAGTGTGTGTGTATGTTTGTTACTTCTTCACCCTCAAACGGTTGATCTGATTTTGATAAAATTTTGTATATAGGAAGCTGACGTCTAGGAATAACACATAGGCTACTTTACATCCCGGAAATGACCGGGTAACACCGCGGGGCGCAGCTAGTATCTAATAATGTTTTCTATTGCCAGGTATCGAGTGTGAGGTCATCAACCTTCGGTCCATCCGTCCTCTAGATTTCGAGACCATCGCTCAGTCACTATCAAAGACACACCACCTCATCACTTTGGAGCAAGGCTGGCCGCAGTCTGGTAAGATATATACTAGTGATATCACCAGGGTTTGGTCATAAAAAGATGGGAATATACCTACTAGACCAGACATTAAGTTTCCGAGATCATCTCTATGGATGAATAACCTGAGTAGCCAGTGTTGATAGAGCTGTAACATTTTCGCGTGTAGTATACAGGGTGACTGGTGAATTACTATCAATATTTAAGGAGCATACTCGGTACATGATTCTCATTCGAATTATGTAAAAAAAATAGGTACTCAATTTTTGAACAAATTTCCGTATAAATAAATAAAGTGTGTACACGTTCCAAGTGTTCCAAGTGTGGACGCGTGCGGCGGCGTGCTGATACAACAAAACGCCGCCGCGCGCGAGTGTGTGTGTGTGTATACCTAATCTGTAGGGTGTTCACACGATGCGTAATTAATTACATAACTTTTGGTTAACTTTACTTAGAAGTTTATTAATATTTATGTTATATTAATTTTTATTTTGTCATATATGATCGTCAAATATCACGTCCTCAAATATCGATAGTAATTCACCAGTCACCCTGTATAATGAGAGGTCATGTTATATTTGTCTTGTAGGTGTAGGAGCGGAGATCTGTGCCCGTGTGATGGAGTCTCCGTCGTTCTTCGAGCTGGACGCGCCCGTGTGGCGTGTGACGGGCGCGGACGTGCCCATGCCGTACGCGAGGAGTTTGGAGGCGCTCGCACTGCCGCAGAGAGGGGACGTGGTCGCCGCTGTGGCCGCTGTACTGGGGAACAGGTACACACACACAGAGAGAGAGAGAGAGAAAAATGATATAGAGCATGCCATATATACATTATACATCCTTGTAAAGTTCACTAAAGATCAAAGACATACATGCACACTCACTCACATGCACACGCACACACACAGAGAGAGATATAGAACATAGAATAAGAACAAGGAATATAGAACAGTATTACTGAAAACTAGAGACACACATGCACACAGAGAAATAGAACATGCCAAATCAACATAGGTACTTTTAAAGCTCATCAAAGACTCACATATTCTCACACACACATGCAGATATAGAATAAAAACATAGAATAAGTACAAGGAATACAGAAAACTATCACTGAAGACCAGAAAATCCATTCAGTAGTTACTCCTTCAAATATCCTTCAAATTTCATAATAATGTCCTTCAATAAGAATAGTTTGTAACATCTCACATATCAATTCAGTGTTTCCCAAAGTGGGTGTTGCAAGCCAAAAGGGGCTGGTAACAAACCCAGAATAAAATGGTTCCACTCATATAGCTCACAATGATTAAGTAATTTAAATTGAACTTATAATAATTGTTTCTCCATTGTAATAATTTATTATTAATATAGGCAGTATTATACAACATAAGTTTGAGAATCTCTGTATTAATTGAATGTAACTATGTTTACAGAATCAGCGAGGCTTCAGCAAGTCAATGAAGAGGTTGAGATTATTTGAAGAAACTGTAAATATATATTATAATATTTATTTATATATGAATGATGGTAACAGACTCCTCTCATAATCATGGAATTAGATAATTATTAATTATGTACAATAAATGTTTAACTATTTGTATACTAATTGTTTTACTATCCTTTAACCTGCCTTCAAATATAAAGTTAGTATACAGTGAAATATATTAATATACCTAAGTTTAGAGATGATTTATTTCCAATTGAGAACAAAGTTCACTTACATAGGAAACTTAAACTAGTACCATAATAATAAACATTTATAAAGTTAATGGTGACCTTATTTATACAAACATTTAAATATAATTATAAAGTTTTTCGTTAAATAAATCTTTCGGTAGATTATTGTAAGTTAGCGCTCCCTCAAATTGTTTAGTTTTGTTACCATAATATTTAGTTCTAGACTTAGTTATTTGTAATTTATGTATATTTCGTGTATAGTATTAATGTGATTTAGTCTTAAAAGTAGTTTGTGTGTGTATAGATCCTAAGAGAATTTTTCTTATAAGTATGCATGTTTTGTATTTGTATAATTGTCCAATAGATAGTGTATCAGTTTTCTTGTAAAGTTCTTTGGTTGGAAAACGGTAGTCCAGTTTGTGTAGTGTTTTTATAGTTTGTTTTGTGATATTTGTAAATCTTTTAAATTAGTTTTGGGTGCAGATCCCCATACTTCTATTAAATATTCAAGTAAGGGTTTAGCTAATGAGTTATAAATAATAGTTTGAACTTTATATGGAATTCATCGGACACACCTGCGTAAAGCTCCATTCAGTGATGTTATTTTAGTTTGCAAATAATCTAAATGACTTTGCCATGATAATTTGGAATCTAATAGTAAACCAAGATACTTTTCTGTTTCTGATTTCTGAGCTTAATATTATTTATGGTTAGGAATTCTTAATTAAGGATTTTTTTTATTTTTAGCAGTAAAGAGCATATAGGAGGTTTTTGTAACATTTATACTTAGCAAGTTACATTGGAACCATTCATTTAGTATATTTAAATCTGCTTGTGCGTTCGATATTATCTCATTTTTTCAGTCTCTCAGAAAGACTTATAATACTATTAAAAATATCTCCCTTTATTAAATAAGATTATTTTTAGTCGTTACGTCTTTGGTAAGAAATAATAATTACTATTTAACTTATAGAATCCCTCGCACTACAGACATTGTAAAGTAACTTGTTAAAATTTATATTTAACATTGAAAGAAACAGGCGTTACTTACATTTGTTTAAATTCTATTAATTTAGTTTTATCCTACTATATATAAATCACTTGTCACTTGTTTGTGCTTTATGGACTCCTAAACTATTTTACCTATTATAAATTAAATTTACACCCGTGTGTATTTTGGTACGACTTGAAAGATAGATACCTAGCTTACATCTTAATTTATAACAATAATATTATTTCATTGCAAATTATTAGTCTACTATTTGATATTAACAATGATCTGTTAATTCAAACCGATTTTAACAGATGGCGTTATCTGTTATTTGGATTGACTGAGTAAGAGATGGCGCCACTATGAAAAAAAAACGAGTCAAAATCTACAGTCCTTGAGGCTAAAGTATTAGTTAAATTTATTTTGTAGTTAACGAAATGCCGTGAAATTCAACTGTTTAGTTATAATAGTTGTACCGTGAATGATGTTACGGAACACACGCGTCAAATGTAGTTCACGAAATCATACCTATGTGTCTATTCACTTAATACATTTCATCTTAATATGACATGTTCACGCGGACGAAGTCGAGGGCAAAAACTACTTTAAATATAATTATATTTAACAATTTATTTATTACAAAGGTAAACTCTGGATATCACAAACCCTGTTTTCTGTAAAAAATTTATGTTGAACTAATAGTTATGAAATTTAAATTTCGAACTCAGTTTATCTTTTAACTTCATCTAATAACGCCTACCGTACAAACTAGATGTCGTGGCACTGATTCCGTTTTAGCGCCATCTTTTAGAATTTTTGAACACTTCTTAGACGTACCAAAGTCAAACGAAGTAAATTTTTTCCTGTATTTTCTTTTATATAAATTCATAGTAATTTGACAAGACAACACTTAAACGGAGCAGACTTTTTACAATACTGAATAATAACATGTCAAAGATATAAACTTAAAATGACTGAAAACTTTATCTTTATAAATAAATGGAATGAGTAATATGCTAATACGTTAAAATTATTTAAACCCATATAATATTATGTACATATGTACACATGGTATATGTACCGCTAATCACTAACTTAATTTCAAAGAACTTTCACGAGGAAAAAGTAAAAAAAAAATGGTGACACGAACGCACCCATTATAAAATTAAATTCAAGAATTATAAAACATTAAAATATAAATTGTTGTGATTGTCTTACATCGTGGTCATACTAAGACGTTCAGTCCACTTCCATGGAATCAGCCTCACTACCTGAGTGCAAGGATGTCTCATACGTTGATGTAATTTGAAGGATAAATAAATAATATGTAAACGTATTTAGTCAAATGTTAGTATTCATATTCGAAACTAAAAAAACGCCTGTTATTATCCTAATAGCTTTGTGTAGCTATATAGTGTAGCGTCACTTGCTATAGTTTTAATCTCTGTTAATTCGGAGGCTGTACCTGGAAAGCCTTGTGCTTCTTTTCTTCTTCTAGGAATATTTTTTTATCGCTAGTGAGTAAAAAGAAACAATTTTAATGTACCGTACCGAAAGGAAAGCTGCAAAAGAGTGTTTTTCAAGCGTTCGTATGAGCAATCACACTGAAAGGGTTATAGAAACGTCAACGCCCAGTTTAAACACAAACCTTTTTTGTATCTCTTGCGAGTGAGGACTTATAAAATAAGTGAATTTATATTAAAAAGTACGTTTAATAATAATTATATTGTTTTTGTTGTACATTTTCTTGAGAGTATAAATCTGCAAGAACTGAAAAAATATTAGGTTATACTTTTAAGTAATTTTATATTTTACAATGTACTGTTCATTAATCCTTACGTTAAATGTGTTGGAAGACGAGTTAAATTTGATCTGAAGCCGGGCATTATTGTAGTATGAGACCCAGCCTGAAATTAATTGTTTTTCATTCTTGAAAATTATAGAAGAGTAATAAGATATTTTATTAAGTTTTTCAATATTTTAAATTAAAAATAAAAAGAAATGAGTTGATTTGTCTTAACGTACACCTTTACATATCTATAACTAGTTTTAAGCTTGACTTCCACAGGTCATAGATGACAGACTAAAAAAAAAAACGAAAATAGTTAAATAGTGTTTTCTTTAAGTAAGTAATTCTTGTATATAGTAATAAATATAATTATTTACACGAAAACCTCAACTTTATTTAAAATACAACAAAAATGTTGTAGCAAGGTATGGATGGTTAGGAGACCTAATTTTAAATTAGCTTTAAACAATATTTTAATAAATCTTGACTTCCCCCCTACGAACCAAACATATACATATTTATGTCTACAGTTTGTGTTATTATTTGTCAACTTAGTTTTTTTCCCTACACTTTATGTACCATCTGCATTATATACTTACCACGAGCGTGTTGTGTGTTTTTTTTAAACGGTTTTATTTAGCTCACCCTGGTTGTTTTATTATTTATTCTTTATTATCTAGAGTATTAGAAACTTTAACAGTAGTCGGGGGCAATACAAAACTCAATAACTTGATTGCTGTAGAAATATGTTAGTAACATGGTCTTTGAACTATGATAATTTACTGAGACTAACAGCCTAATAAACTAATGACGAATTCCACAGAACATATAATTTTTAAGTCTCAATATAATACTGAATCAGTACATGTTTGTTTTCATCACAACAACATCATTAATTAAGAAAGGCTTCGTCGTTCCCACAGAATCAGTTAGATAGTTTGAATCATTCTGACGCAACAGTAATTTTTATTGATTTAATTATTTTGACATATCCTGGAAATAAAAAGACTTTGAGTATGTGAATGAGACATTCACATCTCGTCTGTCCGTGATCACGGTTGCTTCAAAAGTAACTAAAACCTCGGGAGTATGTAGTTTTATAATAATAAAATACACATAGTGATCCGAAACATATTAGTTTAATTTCTATTAATTCGCAAGTAAGAGCCTTGTAATACGATTGACAATATACAAAGTCTAGATAGAATAATACACTTCTAAGCTAAAGTAGAAGAATTATAATTAAGATTACAAACATCACTTTAATTTTGTCTCATTTATTTCAATGGATCAAATTTCTTAATAATTACGTTATAATTTACTAAATGGCCATAGAAAAGTCATTGTAAGCGTGAAATAGTAAGTATTTTCTTATTAACTTTGTCAATTAAGCCAGTGACAGAGAACAAATGAATTGCAGTCGATCTGCCAGAGACGAAACTGTAATGTGTTTTCTAAGTTTATTAAATA